TTTAGGGTTTAGGGCGTAGAGTTTAGCGGTTGAGGGTTTAGGGGTTGAGGGCTCAGGGTTCAGGAATTAATTGGAGTTCAGGGGTTCAGAGTTTCGGGTTTGAGTTGTGGGAACCTCACATCCGCAACACGAAGTTCGTCGCCTCGACGTCGAACCACACAGCCTAAATCCCCAAGCTTGCGCCCGATGTCTAAATCCTTTCAAGCACTTTTGTTCCACAACCGTCATCCTTCTTGGAACATAGAAGCCATAAACCCTAAACCTAAACCCGAAACCCTAAACCCCTACACCCTAAACCCTAAACCCTAAACCCTAAACCTAAACCCGAAACCCTAAACCCCTACAGTAGAAGCTGCAAAGCCTTCAAAGCCGAGCAAGGCGCAAAGTCCAAGCGACGCGGTACCACCGCGCAGCAGCGACATGCTGGCGGCCGGGATGGTGAAGCGTTTTGGGGTTCTCGGTTTAGGGTTTAGGTTTAGGGTTCTCAAGTTTCGAGGTCTGGGCTGTTGGATGACAACTTGGGGGCGCAGAAGGGTTAGAACTGTGTATAATAATAACTAACCCTCAACCCTAAGATTTTCAACTGCCTAGCTGAGGCTCGTTGGCAGAAGTAAGGCTGCAATATCGTATGTGTGGAGGCCAAAAGTGAGTTGAGTTGAAGACCTTGCATCCCAGCATCAAGGCTAAGTAACCATAGAAGGAACACATAGGAACCTAGAGTAACTAGGAACCTAGGGTAACTACGATGCTTTTCTTGTTATGGTAACATAAAGTCAATTCCCTAGCAAGATTCCGGAAGCCTGCAACCCCGGTGCCAGGTCTCCAAAGCTCCCCACCGCCTTTTCACCACAAGCCCTACACTGTCGCAAATCCCAAAGCCTACGTCTAGCGCGGAGTGGGCCCCAGGCTGCAGATTTCTGAGCGCAGATATGATGTGGGTGGATAAAGCATGTCCGCAGCACCATGACAACTCTTGGGAACATGTCTTTGGACTGGGTCCCATCATTATCTCTGCTGCCCCAATAGGACTGGGCCCCATCACTATCCCTGCTGCCCCAACCCTAAACCTTAAACCCTCAATCCTAAACCTTAAACCCTAGACCTTAAACCCTCAACCCTAAGCCCTAAACCTTAAACCTTAAAACTTAAACCCTCAACCCTAAACCCTAAACCTTAAACCCTAAACCCTGAAACCCGCAGCCCGAAGTGTCTCGGCTGCTGTGTGAGCCCCGCAAGAAGACCTCTGGGAGAAGGTGGTAATGTAGGGGCCTTAATAATTAGAACAGGGTTTTGGGGTTTGCTTATTGTAATTATAGGGTTTAGGGTTTATGGGGATAAGAAATACCCAAACCCTATTCTAAATATTAAGGCCCCTACATTAGGCTTCCCAGTAGTGCATGCCTGAACCTACCAAGACCTACGTACCATTTTGTAGGGTGCCTGTACATTCCATGTTGAGGCTTATAGTAGGAACCTACACAAAACTAGGTTCTGGTAGCTTCAGGTGCTCCTAAACCCTAAACCCCAAACCTCAAACCCTAAACCCTAAATCCTAAACCCTAAACCCCAAACCCTAAACCCTAAATCCTAAAACGAAAGCCTCAGCCCCTAGCTGCGAAGGGCTCCCCCCCGCAACCTTCAAAGCCTAATGTAGGGGCTTAAATTTTTAGGGTTTAGGGTTTAAATACTTACCAATAAAATTTGGGGGGTTCCTTATTGTAATTATAGTAAATGGGCCCCCAAAACCTAATTATTAAGGCCCCTACACCCTAAACCCTTATAGCAGCCCTCCTGGAACCCTTTAAGGAACCCTCAAAAGGAACCTCAAACCCTAAACCCTAAACCCTAAACCCTAAACCCCAAACCCTTAACCCTAAACCCTAAACCCTAAACCCTTAAAAGGAACCCCAAACCCTATTCTAATTATTAAGGCCCCTACATCTCAAGGCTCCGTCTCCGTGCAAAACGGTGCCACCGCGCCCCACCAGCAGCGGCACGCAGGCATCGGGCTGTGGTTGAGGGATTAGGGTTTAGGGTTTAGGGTTTAAGGTTTAGGGTTTAGGGTTTAGGTTAGGGTTTAGGGTTTCGAGATTAAGGGCTACGCGCTTCGGGTTTTGGGGCTCAGGGTGTCGGGCTTGTGGCTTCAGGGCTTTGGGGTCTTAGGGTTCAGAGCTTTGGGTTTGTAGAGTTTGGGGCTTGGGTACTGTAGGGTTTCTGAAGTTGTAGGGTTTGGGGTTGAGGGCTTTCGGGATTTTAGGTTTTAGGGTGGAGGGCTTTCGGGATTAGGCTTTTCGGAATGCGGTCTTTTATGTATGTAACCTTTAGATGTGGGGGTTCATGGCTTTGGCATAAGGATTGTGGTGTACGGCTCAGGTACTGTACATTGAAACACAAGTCATATGTCAAGGCCCCGACGACACTTTCAGGAGAGTACGGCCTGCCAAGAGTGTAGATCCGTTTTGGACTGATTGGGATTTTGGAATCGGGCTTTGGGGATCCGAAAATGTAATCCCTAGATCTTAATGTCGTGCCTTAAGAGTAGAGTAGGTATCTCGGGTATGACAGTTCTAGTTGAAGTACGGTATATGGGGTAGATCGGATATTGTTCTTATTTCAGACCGTTCTGTTATCCTGAAGGTCCTAAAGACTGTTCGAGATTGGGCAGGTGCCATCAAGCAAGGCGCCAGTGGCTGCAACTCGCCTTTTTATCTCCCGCGCTGCGCTTTGTGACCCGGGGCTTTAGCGTGTCAGGGCGACTCAAATTTCAAGGGGAGTTCATCTGCAGTCTAGAAGTCTGTTGAATAAAAACGAGACCCATGCTCTTGAATGCACCATGCCGCGGTAAACCCATCAACCGCAGTGCTCCTTCTGCTATCGAAATGTGAGTTAGGCTTGTTTAAGAGGCACTCTCCAGCTTCAAGTTCAGAGCCAAATCATCCTAGACCCTAAACCCTAAACCCCACACCCTCAACCCCTAAACCAGGATTTATTCAACGTCTCATATTTGTCCGTAAGGCAGGGACGGCTAGCCGACACCCATCATGCGTTCAACAAATCCGAAACCCCCTTCACCCCTAAACCCCTAAACTCTACCTAAACCCTAAACTCCTAAACCCCTAAACCCTATAAAGCCTTGACCCTAAACTCCAAAACCTAAACCCTAAACCCTAAACAAAACGAACTCAACGCCTAACCCAAATCCTGCTGTGATCTGCGCCTTTGAGAGCTAGCCCTGCCCTTGAAAGCCCCTTAAGTCCTAAGGCTTTAAGGGTTTAGGGATTAGGGTTCGCGGTTTAGGGTTTAGGGTTTAGGGTTTAGGGTTTAGGGTCTAGGGTTAGGGTTTAGGGCAGGGTTTAGAGATGCTTAGTGTTTAGAACTCGTAGGCTACTAATACAATGCCGTAGGGTTCCTTATCGCAAGTATAACATCATGTGCAGATATACCAAAAACCTGTTCTGCTTGTCAAGGCCCGTACCCAAAGCCCCCTAAACCCTGTGAAACGCGGAATGCCTTTTCCAAAGATCCTATGAAACCGTGTAGATGTCCTTGTAAGCCACGCCAAGACCCTATAAAGTCCCTTTTGACCCCAAACCCTAAACTGCTCCCATAACCGCCTTCAGAACCCCTGAAACCACAAGAGCGAAGGTGGGAAAGCCTGCTCCTTTGCCCCCCAAGCAGGCATGGGCCGTCACGTGGGTGGTTGTCAAAATTATGGTCCCTTTTTGGGTCCTTATTATAATACGGCACCTATTATTTAGGGTACCCCAAAAGGGACCATAATTTTGACAACTACCCACGTCTTTCATGTTTGTCTTTACAGTTTATGGTTTGACCGTTCGTATTCATGTCAACGGGAAGCCTCCTTGAGGGTGCTATTGGGGTTGAGGGTGTTCCCTCCGGGCCATGCTTACCATCGTCGTCGCTAACACCAAACCCTAAACCCTAAACCCTACGCCCTGAACCCCGCCGTCACCCAAAATCTTTCAGCTACAAACAACGGTAGTTGCAGGTCTTGGTCTTGCTGCACTAAAGCTTTGCAGCCCTGAGCTCTAGACTCCTGGGTTCAGGGTTAAGGCTTTAGGTGTTAGGGTTTAGGGTTTAGGGTTAAGGTTTTAGGGTTTTGAGTTTAGGGTAATGACTTTAGGGTTTTGGGTTTAGGGTCAAGGCTTTAGGGTTTGGGGTTAAGGCTTTAGGGTTTGGGGTTTAGGGTAATGGCTTTAGGGTTTAGGGTTTAGGGTACTGGCTTCAGGATTTAGGCGTTAACTTTTAGGGTTTAGGGTTAAGGCTCTGGGGTTTAGGGTTGAGGGTTAAGGCTTCAGGTTTTGCGGTTCAGGGTTAAGGCTTTAGGGTTTAGGGTTAAGTCTTTAGGGTTTAGGGTTAAGGCTTTAGGGTTTAGGTTTTGGGGTTTAGGGTTTAAAAGGTTTAGCCACAGTGAGAGGTGCCCCGAAATCTCTGGCGCATGGCGCGAAATCCTGTCGCTGCCCGCGCCGTGCAGCCTACATTGGAAGCGAAAAGGCGCGTCAGCGGCACGCAGGGTGTCTAGGACATTTTCAGGTGCATAGTTACCGTTATAGGAGCCTTATAGAAGGTCTTTATACCTTATGGAGGCCTTATAGTAGCCCTATATACCCCAAACTCCCCACCTGTAGTTTCCTTTACGGTTGGGGGGTCACCTACTGAGGCAGTTCTCTAAATTAGGCTCGCGGCGCGACGGCACCCTTACAAAAAGACCCCCAAAGGGACACTAGTTTAGAGAACCGCCTAGTGACAGGATCAGGCAACGTAGTAAGAAGGCTACAAGAAAGCAGACGCACGTGTAGGCGAAGCCCAATCAACGAGGCTGCCTGTGATCCGATAACGAGAAGTATAGCATTTACCAAACCCTAAACCTAAACCCCAAACATTAAACCCCAAACATTAAACCCTAAACCCTAAACCTACAAACTCCCCTGACCCCCAAACTAGCGCCCATACCTTTACATTCTACCTGGGTTTAGGGTGAGGTTTAGGGAATCTACCAAGGCATCAGGAGAGCCAGTCCTAGGTAGTCGAAGGAAGACAAGGAGGAGGAGGCACCAACAGCAGAGCAGTAGCAAGCATCGCCGAAGTAACTTGTATTATTTACAGCAGCGGCATCACTGGGTTTTTTTGTCGAAGGTTTCTATGAGGTAATGTTCCAACTAAAACGGTGTGCTTCGAGGGGCGCTACGATCGGTATTGAAAGGCTGTACACAGTACACCTTCAATTGGGCACCGCTTTTTTTCTCCACGTCATAAGAGCTGCTCGACCCCCGCCGTGCCAGCATGCAGCTGCAGCAAAGGTTCCGGGGGTAAGGTTTAGCATACAGGGTTTAAAGGTGCGAGCCATAGGGTATGTAACTGACACCCATGCACATGTTTCTGCTTCCACAGCCAAGGCCTAAGCTGCAGCTTAGTAACACAACCGGCTGTGCAGGCTAAGAAGGCAGCAGCTGCAGCAACGAGGCTTGGAAGAGAGACGACACAAGGAGAAGTCCCAACGGCAGGCCCAGCAGAAGATCGACAACGGCGTCTTGTCTGGGTGCCGGGGGCTCTCTGAACTTTTTTGGTTGTTTTTCCAGTTCCTTTTTTACAGGTGGTGCGGGGTTCAGGCGTCTGTGTCTGCAGGAGTGGCTTTTGCTCACTAGACTTTGAGACTTAAGCCTGTGAGCCTCCAACTTGATGTGCTTGCCCGAAACCCCAGACTCGACGACTAATGCAGAGAAAGCTGTTCGCACATGCCCATGCAGCAAGAAAGGACTTAACTACTCAACCCGCTAGTGACAAACGCGTGGCACAATTGCATCACACACACACACACGCACACACGCATAAACAAACGCACACACGCACGAATACAAAAAGACATCCACAGACAGAGACAGAGACAGAGACAGAGACAGAGACAGAGACAGAGACAGAGACAGAGACAGAGACAGAGACAGAGACAGAGACAGTGACAGAGACAGAGATTGAGACAGAGACAGAGACAGAGACAGAGACAGAGAGGCAGTAAATATATGCATATATACAGATGCACATGTAGCCAGCGCGTATATTCGTGAACACAAGCAGAGACACAAGTGGTTGTTGAAGCACGGTCAGTTTCATAATCAAGTCTATGTACAAACATGAACACAAGCACACACGCACACCGTCTCTATGATGTATACATATCTAGTGAGTTTAGTTTAGTTTAGTTTAGTTTAGTTTAGTTTAGTTTAGTTTAGTGTAGTGTAGTGTAGTGTAGTGTAGTTTAGTTTAGTTTAGTTTAGT